TTATATTAATAATAATAATAATAATAATAATAATAATAATAATAATAACTTTTATTTATAATGCACTTTTCATTCACAACAGATCTCAAAGTGCTAGAAACTTGGTGTGTGTATTCATGTTGTCCACTTCATGTTTATAAAGGAAAACTAGTTATTAAACATGTTACCTGATAAAATAAACAAATAAATGATTGAAAGAATGGCTGAGTGAATATCCACGCCCCCCCCCCCCCCCCCACACACACACACACACAGAGACACATGCACACACAAACAAATATAACAGCTAAATCAATCAATAAATAAAGTTGTAATGCGTGTCTCACCCAGTGGGGGGCAGTGTGTGACCAGGATGTCTGTGTTGTCTGGGATTTGGTTCCACTTGTCCAGAAGAGCCTGACCCCTCGGCAGGTTGAAGCCCCAGCCATAGTACCAAGGTTGCCTGCACACATGCACACAAAACAAAATTAATTTAATTTAAATGCAACATAATTTATTTGCAAGCCATCAAAAATCAAGATAATGTGTGAATGTTTCCCCATTAAATTGATGTGAGAGCAGCTTTTGAGCTTTCTGCTCTGAGCGCAGAGACTCAACTTCTCTAAAACTGAACTATAAACCTTCACATTTTACAGAGACAGCAGCATGAGTACAACTTTTCAATTCATAGTTGAATTCATATTGATAGCTTTTTGTAAAAGTTTAGCTCACAGTCTTGTTTTGATGTTAGAAGAACTAGAAAAGACAAAAATATATTTTAAGAGATACTAAAGGAAACTTATGGCAAAAAAAATCATCAGTGTAGATTTCCATTAAATCCTTCTTTAAAAAAGTTACAAAACTAAAGTTTTGTCCATATCATCAAACTGAATCAAAAATATTAATGTTGTGCACGAGGAAAAAACAAACAAATACCTGTACTGTAACAGGTCTGCTTAAAACATAAAAATATTACACCTTTAAATGGCCGAAAGGATTATGACAAAACAGTCAGGATTTTTTAAAGAACATATGAATGGTGCAGTACAGCTGCTGATTAAAACATTAACACACATCCACTTTCTTCTAGAATTCAAAGATTTATCCATCCATTTTCTTTACCCGCTTATTCCATTTTGGGTCACGGGGGTCGCTGGTGCCCATGTCCAGCAGTCACTGTGCGAGGGGCGGGGTACACCCTGGACGGGTCGCAAGTCCATCACAGGGACACACAGAGACAAACGAGACAAACAACCATTCACTCTCTCACTCACACCTAGGGACAATTTAGAGTTACCAATCAGTCTAACATGCATGTTTTTGGTCTGTGGGAGGAAACCGGAATACCCGGAGAAAATCCACGCATGCACGGAGAGAACATGCAAACCTAGAATTATATTATATATATATATATATATATACACACAAATCCTTTTAAAAAATTTGAATATCATGGAAAAGTTGTTTTACTTCCATAATGCCATTCAAAAAGTTCATCTTTAATAGATGATAGATTCAGGGCCCACAATTTAAACGATTTCAAGTATTTATTTATTTATTTTTACATAATTTGGGCTTCCAGCTCATGAAACCCACGAAAACAGGAAGGAATTCAAAAAATTTGAACACTGTGGAGAAATCAGCCCAAATGTTGCAGGGCATGAATGTTTTAAACTGAGTGTGACACACTAATCATTTACTAAACTCAAAGCACCTGCACAGGTTTCCCCAGGTGTCATTAAATTGCTTCAGTTTGGTTCAGATGTCTCAGTTCGGTTCAATATGGGTAAGACCTCAGACATAACAACTGGCCAGAAGACCATCATTGATACCCTCCATAGGATGGGTAAGACACAAAAGTTCATAGCTAAGGAGGCTGGCTGTTCACAGAGCGCTGTGTCCAAGTATATCAATGGAAAGTCTAATGGAAGAGAAAAATGTGGCAGGAGAAGATTCACCAGCAAAAGAGATGACCGTGGGCTTCAGCAGATTATAAAACAGAGAAGATCCCATAATTTGGCTGAGATCCAGAAAGAGTGGAATGAGGGGGGAGTCACAGCTTCAAAAACCACCACATTCAGACGCATCCTGGAGATGGACTACAACTGCCGGGTTCCTCAGTCCTCTTTTCCGATGAAAGTAAAGTGTGCCTTTCATTCAGAAATCAAGGCCCAAGGGTTTGGAGGCAGAAGGGTGAGGAACAGAGCCCATACTGCTTGAGGTCCAGTGTGAAATATCCACAGTCAGTCATGATTTGGGGTGCAATGTCCGGTGCAGGTGTTTGTAAACTCTGCTTTCTTAAATCCAAGGTCACCGCAACAGTCTACCAGAATGTTTTAGAGGACTTCATGATTTCTTCTGCTGACGATCTATATGGAGATGCAGATTTCATCTTCCAGCAGGACCTGGCCCCTGCCCATGCCGCCAGAAGCACCAAAACCTGGTCTGATGCCACAGTGCTTGACTGGCCAGCCAACTCGCCGGACCTAAACCCCATTGAGAATCTATGGAGTATTCTCAAGAGGAAAATGAGGGGCACCAGACCCAACAACAAAGAAGAGCTGACAGCAAGCATCAAGGAAATCTGGGCTTCCATAACTCCCAGTCAATGCCACAGGCTGATTGCCTCAATGCCACGTCGCATCGAGTCAGTGATTAAGACAAAGGGATTCACAACCAAGTACTGAAGATTGACATTCGTTTTGAAAGTACAATATTTGGATTGATTTGTTGTGATCCTAATTTCTTCCTTTTTTTCTGCAACAGCAGTAATTTGTGCTGATTTCTCCACAGTATTCTAATTTTTTGAAATCCTGTTTTCGTGGGTTTCATGAGCTGGAAGCCCAAATTATGTAAAAATAAATAAATACTTGAAATTGTTTAAATTGTGGGCCCTGAATGTATCATCTAATACAGTTTAACTTTTTAAATGGAATCATGGAAGTTAAACAACTTTTCCATGATATTCTAATTTTTTGGAAAGGGTCTATATATATATATATATATATATATATATATACATACATATTTATTATTTGTCTATAATGAATGTTACGTACCACAGAGCATTAAGGTTGCTGTATTAAACCTTTACTTAAGAGGTCTGACTGTGACTCAGGAATTCTGGCCAGTTATAGACATATATCTAATCTAATATTCATCTCAACAATTCAGAATCAAAATAAGCTTTATTATCATTGTACAGAGATACAGCGAGAATATGTCCATGCTGTCATCCAAAAGATGGGTGGAGTGCACGTAGCTGCTGCTCTTTGAGAGCATGGCCTCTTATCCTTTTCAAAACACATTTTTAGATAGAAAAAGGGACAAAGCCACGAGGAGAGGTTAATGGCATTACAAAAAAAGATCTCTTCACACGTTGTCCTAACAGGACACGATTTAAACGGACTGCACTTATCTAGTGCTTTTCTATCTTATTTCAAGACACTCAAACCGCTTTACACAACAATCTGTGCCTCATTTACCCATTCATACAGCTCTATACTAGATCTCTACAAAGATAATTGAACAAATCATTCTAAAGAGACTAATCAGTGCTTTTAGCTCACATTCCTACACTGATGGGACACACATCAGAGGCTATGAGGGGTTCAGTGTCTTGCTCAGGAACACTTCAACATGTGACTGCTGGTGGAATCGAACCCCCAACTCTCCCATTGGAGGAGGACTGCTCTAACCACTCAGCCACAGCTGACCCATAATATTTGACATTCTGACAAAATTTAGAAAATAATTAAAAATCACTGCATTATGTTACAATACTATTATACAGTAAATGAAATAGTTACACTATTGTTACTTTTTAAACAGAGTAGTGCCTATCCCATCACTGGAGATAAAAACATTGGTATGTTCTGTAGATTGTGTAAGGAGGTGTAGAGGTTCCGTCACTTGTGTCTATCTCATGGGCCGGGGGCCAAATCAGATCCTTGTTAACAACTTATGTGGCCCCCAAGATATTACTTAAAGGTACAGTGCCTTGCAAAAGTATTCGGCCCCCTTGAACTTTTCAACCTTTCGCCACATTTCAGGCTTCATGTCACAGAACAAGGTTTTGGATTCAATATAAGCCAGACACAGGAGTGCAAAAATTAACAGTTTTTATTAATAAGGCTGCTGGTAGCTGCAGAGGGAGGCCTTTTATGCCATGGACAGTGGTGCAATGAAAGTTTGTGGTCCAAAGGGCAATCCAAAAGGGTGATCCGTGAGTCGAGGTCATAGACTGAAGAGGAAGTCGTTACCGTGATCAGAGAGGTGGAACAGAACCAGATGAGGAGCAGGCAAAAAACAGGAAATCCAGAAGGCAGGCGTGAGGTCAATAATCCAGAGAACAAGGCTTGAGGTCTAGGCATGAAACTATGAGGGCTTGAAAATCAGGGACCATGGAAGGTGTAATAATCTCTTTTACTGGTGGAGAGGGAAAATGGATCTTTTGAAGGGTGCAGAGCAGGTGAACCAGATGAGCTGAACAGGTGAGTGGAATCAGGGCTGATTGCTGTGATAGGCTCAGGGGGTGTGGTGAAGTGAGCAGGCAGAGGTGCAGGTTGACAGGAGATGAGAATAAACATGAACAGAAACTATGACCAGAATGGCAGAAAACATAGCATGTCATGAAGGGGCAGGGAAGTGAGCAGATGGGGGTCAGCGGGGTCCGCTGATCATGACACTTCAAACATAAAGCTATAAAATTTTAATTTTTGTGAAGAATCAACAACAAGTGGGACACAATTGTGAAGTGGAATGAAATTTATTGGATGTGTCAAACTTTTTTAACAAATAAAAAACTGAAAAGTGGAGCGTGCAACATTATTGGGCCCCTTTACTTTCAGTGCAGCAAACTCACTCCAGAAGTTCAGTGAGGATCTATGAATGATCCAATGTTGTCCCAAATGACTGATGATGATAAATAGAATCCACCTGTGTGTAATCAAGTCTCTGTATAAATGCACCTGCTCTGTGATAGTCTCAGGGTTCTGTTCAAAACTCAGAGAGCATCATGAAGACCAAGGAACACACCAGGCAGGTCCGAGATACTGTTGTGGAGAACAACAAAGTCCATGCTCATTAATCCAGGTATAAAATCCAACATTTTTCAGTCAGGTCATCTGGACAGTTTCTGAAGAAAGACAGTTGTGGAGAAGTTTAAAGCCAGATTTGGACACAAAAAGATTTCCCAAGCTTTAAACATCCCAAGGAGCACTGTGCAAGAAATCATCTTGAAATGGAAGGAGTATCAGACCACTGCAAATACTTGACCTAACTGCTGCTTTTGATACAGTGGACCACAACATTTTAATATCGCAATTACGACATATTGTTGGTATTGATGGCACTGTTCTTAAATGGTTTAAGTCTTACTTGGAGGAGAGAACATTTTCAGTGAAAATTAATGACTCTGAATCATCTTCAGTTCCAATGCAATATGGTGTCCCGCAGGGCTCA